ATGTTTTCAAGTACAGATCAGTCCCATGTGTATCATAATAAAAATGCTATAATTAGGGTTTTTTTTAACACCATTTAATAAGAAATACAGATTTTTTGTATTAAAACTATGCCCAGTAATAGAGAGCTCTCCTGCAGAGACATAAAACCTGCAGAGTCATGACTGTTTTTGTGTGGGAACTTAACAACTTGTTATTTTTAGATCACTTGATGCTAAGCTAAGCAGCCAAGCTAACTATCCCCAGCTTACCAGTAGCATTTGTCGTTGTTGGCCAGTAGTTTGTCCACCATGTGTTCCACTCGCACAAACCAGCTTGGGACGGCTTTGTAAATCAGGGGCGTGTCAGACCTAAAAAAAAAAGCATAAACACATTTCATAAAAGATCAGCTACAAAATAAGGACTTTAAAAAAAAAATGAAAATTGCCTTTTTCATTCGGCTAGTCAGTCCACCGTCTTGGACTGACATATCTGTATCATTTAACAATTGGGCTTTTATAGTGCAAGCCATCAAGTCAAAAGTGTAATTCGTCCAGAAGTTTGATTTATCACCAATAATCTGCAAAAACAATGACATTCACATCAGTCTCAATCATCGTCATAGAGTATGAGCATAGCTGTGGACTCCATCTTGAGAAAAAAAGTTTTTATTTCTCAACCACAGAAAAACTGTGGAAATTATAAGCAAAGTGATATTAAGTTGAATGTGCACCTAATGTACATAAGGTCAGTCATTTACAAATTAAATTGTAAATCTCACTTTGTATGAACCTAATTCTATTAACTTGTTTGACTCTTTACTGCTTCATGTCTTATTAGCATTGTTCTTTTCAGCTCCACCACTTATTAGTGGTTTAGAGAACATCATTTTCAAGTTCAGTCCAAACCAAGCTCCCTCCTCTACCGTACAGGGGCCGAGTGTTTAATAACACAACCGTTTCATCTCAACGAGCCAGTGTCTCCTTGTGGCTTAGAAAGAGTATTTCTGCACATTTGCTGGGTTAATTAATCCTGCCCAGGTCAGTCTGCAGCCGCTTCAAGTGAGACAGTGATTTAGTCTGCTCAATACTATGTGTGTATGTGTATGCGTGTAGGTCTGCATGTGGCTGTTAGTTACAATGTGATAATGTGGGACCTTGAGGTTGCATGTGAAATGATTCTGAGTAGAGACCACAAAACCTCTAATGACATCCTGCACTAATGCTCCAGAGGGAAAAATGAACACAGAAGAAGCCCAACCTCTGCTCTGACACTGAACTGCCTTTAACACAAAATTAGCTTGCCTGTATTGAAGTAGAAAAAAATACCATATTTAATTTGTACAGGCCAAACATCTGCTCTTATTTGTGTTTAAAAGGGTCTACAGTGGACGACTGAAACAAAGCTGCTAATGTGACACAGCGTTCAGATTTTACAGTTTGACTCTTTGTCTCACCTCCAGCAGAAGGGGTAACTATGTTTGAAGCTGCTGGCATTGATCAGGCGACCATTCTCCTTCAGCCACTTGATGATATTCTTGTCAGCATCCTGTAAAAAATAAACAAAACATTAGACATGACTTAAAAATGCAGCTTTAAAAAGTAATGAAATACAAGCGTAAGTTCCCAAGTAGTTAGGGTGTGGGCATTAGTGTGCAGTGACGCACCTCCAACTACACCAGACTGCCATTTCATAATGTGTAAAGTGAAAGCAAAGAAGGAGGTGAACATCATGGGAAAATACCATTAAATTGGAAAAAAGGAGATTAATAAATTGAAGTTACTTTCTTTATTTATATATTTATTTATATATATATATATATATATATATATATATATATATATATATATATATATATATATATATATATATATATATATATATATATATATATATATATATACATACATACACACACACATTATTATTACGGGAGATGTGCGGAGTGGCGCAGTGGGCTGTGCGTTGATCATCAGATCAAGGCGGCGTTGGGGAACACCAGTTTGAAACCCGCCTCCGCTGCGTCTGTAAAGCCGTTGTGTCCTTGGGCAAGACACTTCACCTGAATTTGCTTCTGTGGGTATTGTCCACAGTACATGACCGTTACATGTGTGTAATGTGTATTTGTAAAGCGCTTTGAGCATCTGGAAAAGCGCTATAATAAATGTAAGGAATTATTATTATTTATTATTATTATTAGGGCTGTCAAGTTAACGCGTTAATAACGCATCTGTATTTGTCCTCGGCCCGCCCCGTAGTTTCAGAGCCCAAAGGCTTGACGTTGTTGTTGTTGTTGTTAGTTGGATGCTGGGAGACTCTAGCGAGAGATATGGATACAAAAAAGGTGTTTTAAACCGCAAGCCAAGCACACAGCTGATGCTGACAGCCCCGCTCCTGCCGCTCGCTTGCGGCAGACCACGCTTGAAAGTTTGCCAGGGAGACGCCTGGACAACAACAGCGATAGCTAAATGGGTGGCTACAGCTTAACATTGTGGAGGACGAGGGGCTGCGTTAGATAACGTGTCGACTGCACATCACAAAGCATTATTTTGACCCTAGGTGGGAACTTCAGTCTCATGCTTTGACTGAAGATGAAGACAGAGGAGCGGATTTCGCCGACAACTGTAAACAGGCTTGTCTGTTTGAGAAACTGGCTCAGTGCAAAGAAGTAGACAGGGTTGGGAGAGAGTGTAAGAGAGAGAGAGAGGTTCCAGGTTGTTGTGTTGAGAATATTCAGGAGAATATTTGTCATTGTTCCAATGATAATAAACAAACATTTGCATAAAGCATATTTGTCCACTCATGTTGATAAGAGTATTAAAAACTTGAAAAATATTCCTCTAAGGTACATTTAGAACAGATAAAAAATGTGCGATTAATTTGCGATTAATCGCAATTAACTATGGACATCATGCGATCAATCGCGATCAAATATTTTAATCGACTGACAGCCCTAATATATATATATATATATATATATATATATATATATATATATATATTATTGTTAGATTCTGAGATTGTGAATTCAAAATGTGTAGAAACACAACTACAGGTGTACATATTCCTAGTTATAATAAAAAAATGTATTATTATTTTTGTTCAGTACAGACCAGTGGTTTCCCTGCTCAAGAGCAACCTATAGCAAAATGTTTGTTACGGTTTGCCAATTGGTAAAAAAAGTATTATTTACTTCTTGCCCTACAGAGAATCACTGGCAGTTTGTTTCACTAAACAAAGTTAGAGTTAAGGAGAAAACATTTGACTCCCTTTCTATTACTAGCCTGAATGTTTAGATTTGTATTCATTTTTCCCTTTAGGAAGGAAAGCTCAGGATCCTTAAAAGCCCTCTGGCTTTATACTTCCCTTTACGAAATAAAGAAGGTGAATTTGCAGCAAAGGTCAGTCTGCTCATTCAGGTCTGATATATACCATCTGAGATGTAGGGAGAAATTGGCCATTTTGTCATCCAGCTCATTGTTTATGACAAACAATCTAATAAGCAATCAGCCCTGTGCCTTTTCATCCCCCTCTAACGAAGCTCACAGTACCATTCACAGGAAGCTCATAAATATGACTTTTCACGAGAGGTATGGAGAACGTTGGTCGTGACTTCTTTGTAGATCGAGGGCTTTTAAAGTTTCTCAGCCAGGAGTAAATGTTGTTATGCCCTGACCCAGGCTCATTAAAACATGAAAGACCACCTGTGATGTGGAGATTCGTTGGACCTTTGCCTACAACCAAATGAGAACATTTCACCACCTGGCCAATTGAGATTAAACAAGAGTTACTTGATATATTTACTAGACTATTCACACATGTGTGACTCTTTTTGTGACAAAGTATAATTACACACAGCATAGTTTCTGCTTCTCTTTTAATAATGTGAACCTACCCAGTTAAAGTAGCAGACCCAGCGTGCAACCTAAGGCTAGATTCACACAGCCATTTTATTCCTGAGCAAATTATTTCTTATTTGAGGGATAAAGCTAACGACAAAATACTAAAATAATTGTAATTAATTGAGCCTGACTCAGTAAAACAAGGCTTTTTAGTAGATGTAGTGTTTTTTGGGTTAAAATAAAGTAGGATACACTGAGGAAAAGGATAGAGAGTTGATGGGAAATAAAGCAAGAGAAGGAGTAGACCAGTAAGAAGAGATTCATCATAAAGGGTACAACAGGTAACTCACAAGAGAAATAAATAAGGCCAATGCAATATTTTGTATGCACTCACTTCAATCTTTATTAGGCAACAGTTGGTCAGAATTAGTTTAAATGGTCAATAATTGTTTGTCTAAACAGTTGGAATAATCAGGATGTGGAGTTAAGACCAGGCAAAACACTGATGTAATCAGGTCTGCTTTAAATGGGTTGAGATGTGGTACATCACAGCAGGACAAGAGAGTTTTTTGTAAAGGAGGTAGGATCATTAAGTTGGATCAAGAGAAGCACTGGTGGCTAAAAGATGTTAGAAAGGAGGTGAAGGACGTATAACAGTAGGGTTGATTTGACAGAAAAAAGAAAGGTGAATTCAACCAGTGTGTTGTAGGAAAAAGGAATAACTAAGAAGGCCTAAGGGCCATGAAACGGGAACATGGTTGACAAGGTAGAGATGGTTAGTAAAGAAGAAGGACAAGAGAGTTGTTTTTAAGAAAATGATGTAAACATTTAAATAACGAAGGACTGGGAGGCACTTGTAGGCAAGCAGACTATGATCACACACTTACTGATTCAATTCAACATTTTGAAAAAGCCACATTCAGTCTTTTTAAATGTATGTCTGCAAGCCAGCACCTCAGTAGAGTAGTGATACTTCTTCCCTCCGTTCTTTGAAAAACATCTTGCCAATTTTAAAATATGAATCATAGTCCTCGTCTGTTGGATCGAGGTGTCGAATTGGCACTTGTAGTTAGACATTTCAAATGACACCCAGTTCTTTGCGTGGAGAGGGCAAGGTTAGAGAAGAAGGGAAGGATGGGGAAGAATATTTTTAACAAGTATGAGCTGATTGCTCCTCTCCACAATGCTCTGCTGGTCTTCGCTGTTGCTGCTTTTGACTTGCGGATCCTCTCGTCACGAATATTTAGACATCTTTGGCAATTCCAAGCCTGGTTTCCTCTCCTTCCAGCAGCTTCCTGTAGGTGGCGATCTCCACATCCAGCTTGAGCTTAATGTGCAGCAGTTCCTGGTAGTCATGGAGATACTTGGTCATCTCGAGTTTGGTTTCGCAGAGCTGGGTCTCCAACTGAGCAATGACACCCTCGAGGGTCTCCGCCTTATCCATGTGGGACATCTCCATATCCTCCAGCTGCTGCTCCATGGCTGAGTTACGAGCCTTCAGCCCATCAATCTGGTTCTGCAGCTCTGTCACTTGGTTGTGGAAGGTCGTTATCTCGTCTTTCATGGTCTTCGTGTGTTCCTCGTGTTTGCCAGCGTGCTCCTTGAGGGTGTTAAACTTGCCCTTGTACCACTTCTCAGCTTCCTGGACGTTTCGGGCAGCGACTGATTCTATCTCTGCACGCATGTTGCGCAGATAAGCAGCCAGGTCGGGCCGGTCGCCATCCAGATCTGCGGTAATCTTTGAGTCCTCGATCTGCTTCATGAGGTCAGCCACCTCTTCATCGTGCAGCTTCTTGAGGAACTCTATCTCGGCCACCAATTGCTCTATGCGCTTCTCCAGCTCAGCCTTCTGTAGTGTGGCGCCGTCAACATCCTGGCGGAACTCCCTCAGGATCATCTCTGCCTCTTCCTTGAGTGCTAGCTCTTCCTCCAGCTTTAGTCTCCATACTTCAACCTCTTCCTCAATGTAGCCTCGTTCAATATCAGCCGCTCCCTTCTCATTAGTCAGGGCCTCGATCAGATCACGCACCTCTTTAAACTTGAGCTCGTATTCCTCTCCGATGCCTGTGTGGCCTCCCTTGTAGCGGCTCTGCAGTGCGGCTAACTCGGCTTGAAGAGCACCATTTCTCTGCTCGAGCGCCTGGACCTTCCCGATGTATCCCGCAAACTTGACATTGAGTTCCTGCATTTCCTCTTTCTCGTTGGCATGTTGCTGGTGTATCTCTGTGCCCAACTCAACGGCAGTGCTGCGATTACCGGCGCGTCCGCGGCTGTCATAGGAGGATCCACGGCACCGGGAAGGTGACGGGCTCTGGACCCTTACTTTGCTGCTGGAGCCTTTGACCTGCAGGCTCTTCTGGCTGTAAGAAGCAGCTCTCATGTTGTGCAAAATACTGGGTTTGTTTTTCAGTAATAACAGAAGAACAGCTGCTCTCTCGGCTTCTCTTTGCGTGGCTCAAGTCCCGACTGTGCCTCCCTCAGATCACCTCCGGGTTTTATGCGGCAATAAAGAATGTCTCAGACAGCAATGAAATTCACGCTCTGTTTTAACATATTTCAAAAGTGGATAATGACAGACTCTCAGAAGACTGTGGTTGCTTACTCTTTATTAGCTAACGCTGTACTGTTAGTGTCCAGGCGGGTGGAGTCCACTCCCTGGCCTTCTTCGCCAGGATGTGAAATAGTGATCACATCATGTATAACTGCTATTTTTCATTTACTATTCACTTAGGATGGTAATTAAGTTGGGTGTGACAGGGAGGGAACACAGTGCTCTGGTAAACAATGAATGTGCTTCGACAGCAGGTTTTGTACACAACTGTGTGACAATGACGATAATTCCTTTACCTCTCTCCACTTCAATGAACAAGTCATGCTCATAAAGAATAATTTACAATTACATTACAAACATAATTATTTCAGTGTCTTATCATGTCAAAACAATTTTAGAAAAAGCATTAAACCTAAAGCCGTGAAGAAAGGGCATGTTTTAGTACGCCAGAACGAAAGAGGAAAACATCATTATAGAAAGATGTATTTTCCAGATATCCACAGAGGAAATGGAGTAAAATAGGAGATTGGACGCCCAGCAAGCGGTAAATGAAATGCCGAATTACACCAGCTATCAATATTGTTGCGGGTTTTATCCCCACAGCGGCTTTTATCAGTGGTTGAAGGCGGAAATTTCTGCTTACCTAATCTACATGTAAATGTCTGATGTGTCACTCACTTTGACATACTGTCCCACGAAGTCAGTGACCTCTGAAGTGAAGCAGCCCGAGGAGTCCACAGGGCAGATCGGAGCCTGGTCCCTCGCGATGATCTTGTATTCAGTGCACACCCTGAAATCATCCTAGAGAGAAAAATACACAGATAAAGGGTTTAGTGGTTGAAAGCATTTCTACTTCCCATTCATCAGTAATACATATAAAAATGCATTAATATATAATACATTTTTTTTTTTCGATTAAGTAATTCCATAAGACAGAAGCTACTTCATTTTTACAAATGTTCCAAGGTAGAAAAAAACATCGGCAAACACTCGATTTGATGTGGCCATTCAAAGTAAGGTTGGTTGTTAAATAACACACTTTAAACCGTGGAGCAGTAAGATGAGAGTATGAACCAAGTATGTTTGATGTAATTACACTCAAAATGTTCTTGTTTTATATAAAAAAAACTGTTAATGGATTAGTAAATCATTCAGCAATTATGAAAACAAGTGTAAGTTGAGGCCCTTATTATAAAAACAAAAAAAGGCATAGACTGCAGCCTATTACTACATCTTGAAATTGTGACTGTAATTAAGTTGCATCGTCTTGTATTATCTATAAACATTGACACTGTATTCCAAGGTAAGGTTTTGTTTCACTGCTATTGTCCAAATAGATGCTGTGTAACTGTATATACAAATAACCAATTACATATCCCCTTAGGCAGCTCAGAGATATGTTATGACCTCATATCATACGCCTTGTTGAGCTACATACTTTGCCGTGTTGGAAGAAGCACCACTGGCATGTGACAGCTATGCATGAAAGGTCGGAGTCCTGTCCAGCTGTAAATGTATTTTGTATTCAAACACTCTGTCAAGATCCAAGATGGATGTTCCACAGGGTCATTTCACATCCAGTCATAACAACATAAAACTTGAAAAATGTGTTTTGGCAGCGCATTTCTCCTCACTGTATATCTTCAGAGCAAATGTATGCGTGTTTCAAATGTTCAACGACCAATCCATTTGAATGTGATCACTGGATAACAAAACTGTTACCAAATAGAACAAATTCTAACATTTAAATGCTAATGTATATGTGTGATGTTGATGTGAAGGGCTGCTTTACGTCCCCATAGGGACTGAGCTGCAGTTAAATAAGCAGAGTGCAGAAGAGGAAGCTAAGACAGAGAGACTGAGCGTTTATCCACAGCTGGCTACAGCCGCAGGGGCCTCAATCTGCCTTTGGCAAGGGCATCTAACCTATTAGAAATAACCCAATACCTCTGATAGCACTGTAACCAGGGTTTCCATTACCTGGTTATTACCCCTTCTTTAAGCAAGGAAGGTCTGTTACAGTCAGACTTATTTACATCCCTCCGGTCATCATTTCTCGTTCGGCTACATTGAACAGACATGGATTTTTCATGTGCTGCAGAATATATCTTTTTGCTCAGAGCACCTGTAGTGCACATACCGCTAGGGGTTGTGTGGGTCGTAGGAAAACAAGACAGTGAGCTTTTGTTTTGGGATTGTGTGGGACGGTTTTTGGACTCAGCACAGCGCTGTGAAGCTTTTTCACTTTTCACAGTTTGTGTAATATTAGTATATGAACATCTACAGCCTACAGCAGGCTGTACGAGCTGAGCAACTGCCACCTGGTCCTGGCAAAATGTCGAAACTCTTAAAATACAAAAGCAATTCAGCTATTTACCGTATTTTGATAGTTGAGTTAAAAAAAATTATAAATAAACACCACTTTATGTTTCAAATGTATGGTAGATGTGAAATATTCCAAGACTCATAAACCGGACTACACTGTACAAATACATGATGCAGGGTTCAATACAAATATCCCATAAAACTATCTTAAGCATCCACATAAATGTAACCGGGTTAGTTCACAAATAAACATTAAAAAAAGGCAAAGTAAACTAGAAGGAAGGTATTGAAGGACAAAACTCTAAAAAAAAAAAAAAAAACACGGATATAGAATTCAAGACCAGTGGGTCCTGATCATCCTAATTAATGAAATATGTTTGCCTTGAGCTTAAGCTTTGAACAACCAATTGTTTCTATCATTAATACAAATCCTATTGTTTCACATACATTTCAAGAACAAATGTAGTTTCTGGTTAAGTTTAGTCCTCTTTTAAAGTGATAGATATCAATGACTGCATGTGCTCATAGAAAGACAAAACAGGACTGGGTGCGTTTTTATAAGCATAAGATGCCGGGGAAGCTACCAACAGAGTTACACTTGAAAGAAGATGGCCTTGTTTTCCTCCAGAGTGTGCTCCATATAAGCATCTGCAAAACTGGATTAACAAGCCTTCTAGTAGCAACGTTTCAGAAGTGTTTCTCAATTTCATTCAGAATCACTCAGCGAAGTACATAGTAATTAAAAAGGAGGTGGGTGAGGCTCACCAGAGTCAGGTGGATCTCATGACAGTGACAGAGGGGAGCAGGATCAACAGCAGAGGCTGCAGTGTTTCCCAGAGGTTGACTGCTTTAACCAGTGACTGTCACTGTCATATTCATCTGACAATTTCTAAATCCACTTGAACCACTCTTCACATTGTCATAAATAAGACAAAACACCAAATACTTATTTGAAAGGAAAATGTGTCACTGGTTTGTCTGTTCCTTCACTTATTGCCTTCTTCAAAAACAGCACTCATCTTGTTAACCAATTATTCTAGTGCAGCTAAAAACTCAAAACTATACTGTTAGATAACATCCATTTTATATTATTATTTGACTGGTCTGGAAAACTTGTTGTCAAAAACACTTGTTAGTAATTTCCCTCCTCAGTTAGACATATTCATATCATATCATATATCAATCATACAAGCATACTTTTGTTAAACTGCAGTAGTGGTACTGAAACTATCAGCCAATAAAGTGCATTCTTACTACTATTGAGTAATGTATCAAGTCAAAATCTTAAGTATTTGCTAGTATGTGCCTCTAAAACATATTATTTCTGTTTCAAATCATTATAACTTCAATATCTTTGGGCCTTTTTGTTCACATAGAGAATTTCTATGGGGAATCTTGTTTATTTGTGATATCTTATAAACCAAGCGATCCATCTCTTGATCAAAATAAATAAATACATATATGCAGAGTGTGGGAGAACAAAAAAGAGGACACTCACAGCTCCAAAGTAAGGTGCCTGGTGGACCACTCCTGTGCCCTCTTCCTCCTTGACGTAGTTATCCAACACCACCTGAAACGCTCCTTGCTCTCCACACTGAAGAGGAACAAGGAAGAGGAGAATCAGACGAACAGCGGCGAGTGGTGAGGAAGAAATAGAGCCACAGATAGTGAGAGAAAGAAAGATTAAAAGACAGATGAAGAGAGAGTAAACTGAGATGCCAATTTGTGGTCAGACAGGTAATTAAAGTGAGACATAGGTCTGTCTTCATATTGTGGCAAACAATATATATCACATGCAGCAGGCAGGAACAAGAACACAAACTACTAACCTTGGCAAAGTACGGGAAAAGAGGCTTGTATTTTTTCCCTTTCAGCGTCTTGCCTTGGAATCTGATCACATCAACAAAACATATCATTGTTTCATTATCTGTCATTCACACTTTATTTCATCTAATCACTATTCAATCCCTCGTAAATCTGACTGTTCAGCTGTTCAAAATGTCTCTGATTGGAGGAGGCTGTTGCAGAATGAAAGGAAGTCTGTAGATACTACTTGAGATTAAGAAATGTACTGACAACTCATCTGCATGTTTTGAGGGTAATAAACCTAAATAACATAAAACTTAAAGGTTAATGTCTAAATCATGCTAGCATGGCGACGTCAGCAGGTATATTGTTTAACATGTATTAGTTTAAACTTTTAATGTGGTAACATTGGCAAAGTAGCCCCCACAAGCACAACCAATGGGTGATGGTAGTGTCATTAGTTAAGAAGGTATTTGCTCATAAACCACATTTTAATTTAACCTGATTGAACTGGATAAAACGTGAGGGGAGCATAAATGTGTCATAGCAATATATCAAACGATTTGTGTCACATTTCACACAGACCTAAAATTAAAAGTATTTAAGGTATTCATTCTTTATGTTTGCTATAGGTTTTTGTGTACTTACTTGTCCAGGATAGTGTACTCGCTCTCCGACTTAAACAGAGCTCCCAGCCT